GAAAAAGCCCAGGGACAGTGCCCAGGCTCTGAGTTCAAGCCCCAGGACCAAACCCACCCCAAACAACAACAACAAACCCCAAACTAAAACAAAACAAGAAACCAAAAGCTCCGGAGACAGCAAGTAAGGAAACGGGTGGAGACCTTATTACCCCTGATTCACCAGAACCCCGAGATGGGGGGGTCCAGTCCCCGCGGTGCCCTGCCCTGGGCCCCGCCCCAGGCCCGCCAGCTTCTCAGCGCTTGTTTGTGGGTTCCTCTGACGCTTTTTGTTGCCATTCCCTGATTTCTTCATAATTCATCCCTGTCAATGGGTCTGCTGCGCCCACGTGACGCTCTAGATTGTATCCCGTTCGTGCTGGGGTTTGAACTCAGGGACTGTGGTAGGTAGGTGCCATGTAGTGGTAGCCACGCCCCCACAGCACAAACCACGCCCCACACTAAGCCACGCCCCCGCGGCTTGGGCCTCCCAAGAACACTTGAGCCACGCCCTCATCGTTTGAGCCACGCCCCCACGCCTCGAGCCCAACCCCAGCTGAGCCACGCCTCCTACCACTTGAGCGGTGCCCCCAGCGCTCGAGCCACGCCCCCACCGTTCGAGCCACGCCCCTCGTCCTGTCTGGGCCACGCCCCTCGTCCTGTTTGGGATATCGGTTTACTTTTCACATAGGTCTTTTGCTGGCCCTGGTTTGAACCAAACTACATCTCCCTCATAGCTGGGGTAAGAGGCATGTGCTACCACACGCAACTTATTAATTAACATGAGGTCTCATTGACCTTCCCCTCCCTCCATGCTGGCCCCCAATCTCAGTTCTTCTGTTTAGTCTCTGTCTTTTCAATCTGGGATTATAGGCGTGAACTACTAGTTTTTGCTTTTTTTTTTTCCTACCCCAGCTTTGGCTCTTGGAGCTCTTATAGTAGGAGGAAATTGTTAGGTGTCTGAGGAGAACGTTACTTTCTTCCCTGTGGTTCATTATAAATGGATGAAAGATTTAGATATAAATTGCATGCGTCCATGTATACATGCAGGCATGGTACCTACAACATACATCCGTAACGATCAAGCCAGCTGCCCGTGGCTCACGCCTGTCATCTTAGCCACTCAGGAGGCTGTGATCTGAAGATCGAGGTTCAGAGACAGGCAGGGCAGGAAAATCAGGAGACTCTTGATCTCCAATGAACCATGAAAAACCTGGAAGTGGAGCTGTGGTAGAACTCTAGCCTTGAGTGAAAGAGCTCAGGGACAGCGCCCCGGCCCTAAGTTCAAGCCCCAGAAATCACACACACACACACACACACACACACACACACACACACACACACACACACACACACACTCTTGAGAGGCTTGGGGGCACAGGGTCCACAGCCAAGCGGTGGTGGTCGGGGCTGCAATGCCCACAGCCGCCGCTAGAGGGAGGCGCAGGACCGGGAGAGCCGCCGCCCGCAGCCCGAGTCCCGCTTTGCTCGGTGCCTTTCCAGCCTCCTCCCCAGCGAGCGCCCCAAGCTTCAGGGGTGCCTTTCCCCGTCTATTCGCGTGCGTTCCCCCTTCCTCTTTATTTGCCTATGTTAATTATCCCAAGGGGGCTCAGTTCCATCTCTTTTGGTCTTTTGTCAGTCCTGGGGCTTGAACTCAGGGCCTGGGCGCTGTCCCTGGGCTGCTTTGTGCTCAAGGCCAGCGCTTTACCACTTGAGCCACTTCTGACTTGATGTGTATGTGGTGCTGAGGAATCGAACCCGGGGCTTCATGCATGCTAGGCAAGCGCTCTCCCACTGAGCCACCTTCCCAGCCCTGTATCTTTCTGTTCACCCTGGCTGCTTGGGAGCAGGGTGCCAGGCTGCGCACCCCACGCCAGACACCAGGGCCACATTCTCCGTGAACATCCCGTCTCCACCACCAGGCTGCCGGAAGAGACCTCTAGGTCCCCATCTTCCCCAGGAGAGGGGGTACCCTAGGGACACAAACCCCAGGAAGAGAAGCATCGCCACCACTAGTTTCTGTCGTTAGTGCAGTCACACGGCTCCGATTCCGATGCGCAAGGCATTCGAGATGTGCCATTATTTAGCGCCAACTGCATGCGCCAGGCCCCCCAATCTTGTGTCCCAGGAGAGGCTCAGGCTGGTTCAGGTGGGGCCTGGGTCCTAGCAATGATTCTACCTGCCCCGTGAGTTGGACCCTCCCCCCCAGCTGGACCAGAACCCTCCAGATCTTACCCCCACCCCCACCCAAGGCTTCTTCAGCAATGCATAAAACTGGGAGTCAGGCATTGGTGGCTCACGCCTGTCATCCAATGACTCAGGAGGCTGAGATCTGAGGATCGCAGTTTAAGCCAGCCCTGGCAGGAAAGTCTGGGAGAGGTTGAGAGCAAGGGTCCTGGAGTCTAGAGGTCTCTGTGACTCAGTTTCCCCTAAACGGGTCTGCATGGTACCAGCCTCAAAGTGATTGAGAATAAGCCTGGCTCTTAAGAGCTTTGAAAGAGCCAGGCGCCGGTGGCTCAGGCCTGTCATCTTAGTGACTCAGGAGGCTGAGACCTGGGGATCGCAGTTCGAAGCCAGCCCAGGCAGGAAAGTCCGTGAGACTCTTTGTTGTTGTTCTTGAGCTTGATGGAAATGAGAGTTTTATTTGAGCACTTTTTTTTTTTTACTTTGAGTTGTCCATGAGACTCATATCGCCAATAACCCAGCAAAAAGCCGAAGTGGAGCTGTGGCTCAGGCGGTAGAGCGCCAGCCCTGAGCACAAAAGCTCGGGGACAGTGCCCAGGCCCTGAGTTCAAACCCCAGGGCTGGTAGGAAAAAAGGAGAGAGACAGACAGAGAGACAGAGAGAGCGCGCGCGCGCTGGGGCGGTGTGCCTGGGGACGGGCATTACACCCTCATAACTTCCCAGATGGGGAAACTGAGGCCTGGGGCTTCAGCACTGGAGGCCTCAATTCACACAGCAGTTGCCAGCCGAGGAAAATTAAAAGAAGGGTGTGGGGGGGGAGTGAGCAACACGGGCCCACTGCACAGCTGGGTAAATCGAGGCAGGGCTCCCCCAGCCGTGGGGAACGCACGCGCCGAGCCTCAGTTTCCCCTCCGTGCGGCGGCTCCCTGCGGGGGGGGTGGCCCCGGGCTCTTACACAACCCCCCCCCCCCGAAGGCGCCGCGCCAACGACACCGCAACCGCCGCTTCCTGCGCCCCGCCCCCCTCCTCCCCGCGGGCGCGGGGCCTCAGTTTCCCCTTCTGGAGGGGCCACGTCAAACCTAGGTTCAGGGGTCACGCAGCCAGCGGGTGACGGCGGCGGGACGCGCGTCCGGCGGGCTGCTCAGTCTGTCCTGCTGCTCGGCCGGGGAGGGGGGAGCGCGTGCGCGTGCGCGTGCGCGTGCGCGTGCGTGTGCGCGCGTGTGCGCGTGCGCGCGCCTCCGGGGCTCCGGGGCTCCCGGCTCCCGTCCTGGACACCGGGAACCTGTGCGGCCGGCGGGTCTCACGGGGCACCAGGACCTGCCCTGGCCCAACCAGGAGGCTGCCCAAGAACATTCTAGAAGGCCCTGGCCCAGGCCGTGGGTTGGGTTTCGGACGCCGAGCGCGCAGTCCTGAGCTGACAAAGCCTCCCTGCGAGGGTCTCCTCACCGCTCCGTTTTCCGGTTGGGTTGTGCTGTGCATTCTCGAATGTTCCACCCCATCCCCTGCTTCCCATCAGGGATCTGGGCCCACGGTCAGCTCCTCCCCACCCCTTCCGCCACAACCACGCAGGTCCCTCGGCATTTCCCGCCGCCCCACAACCACGGTGCCCAGAGACGCACAGGCTCTGGCCCAGGGTCACACAGCACAGGCGGGTCGGAGACAGCCCCGGCGGGCGGGGCCGCGGCCCCCGGCGCCTGCGCAGCGGAGCGTCAGTCCCGCAGGACACCTGGGCAGGGACGGGAGCCAGCGCCCCTCTGGGCCTGCCAGGGTTCCAGGAACTGGCAGAGGCGTCCCGGGGCATGGCACCGTTGCAAAACCCGAGGGTGGCGGGCTTGGCATGCCTGGGCACTTGCCACCTCCGCGCCCCGAGGGCCCCGCCGGGGAGGAGGGAACGGCGCAGCACCCGGCGCCAGGACTCAAGATGGAGCCCCAGGCGCAGGGGGCAGCTACCGGGAAGCACCAATTGCAGGCGGCGTCTTGACTTTTAGCCAATCAACACGCAGCTGCCTGGGTTCCCAGCCAATAGAATCGCGTAGGGAGTCGGGCCCCGCCCCCGGTTGAAGCCCACTGGCCCGAATGGCAGGATGAGGGGCGAGTCTGGTGGTTTCCAAACTTGTCTGCGGGTGGCTCGGGTCCGAATTGTTTTCCTGCCAGCTCTTTGGGCCCTGGGACAGCTCCCTGCCTCCATGCCTTGCCCTTGGGACTTGAGATCACCCTGCAGAGCCAGAATTATTCTGAAAAAAAAAAAAAAAAGAAAAACAAAAGCCCAACAAGTCACTAGTTAAACATTTACGGAGCATCTAGCACAGGCTGGACCCTGAGGATGTGAAGGTAGAGGAGGGGAATGTAGGGGAAAAGCCACGTGGAAGGGAGAGGGACCAGGGCAGAAGGCCTAGCCCATGCAAAGGCCCTGGGGCAGGCCTGGGTCTGACCTGTTGGTGAGGAGGGATGGAGAAGAATGAAAGGAAGAGGCAGGGAGGGGCCGGGGCGGTGGTGCAGGGCCCTGTGGGCTACAGGGGGCACATGGGCTTTGCTCCTGAGAGAGGTGGGAGCCTTAGGGGGCTGTGAGCAGAGAGGAGGGAAGAATCTGCATGCGGTGTTTACAGCCTCCCCCAGTAGACTATGGGGTAGGGACGGGGCAGGGGGCATCAGGGCCCTGATCGTAATGACAGGGTGGCACCAGGTGAGGAGCCTTGGGACCCTTTTTCACAGACAGGCAGAGAGGGCCTTGGAGGGGAAACTGAGGCCCACAGTCCCTCTGGGCTTGCAGCAAGGAGTACGTGGCATTCTTGGAGGTTGCCCAGCTCTGGAAACTTCAGCTCTGGGTGATCAGAGACGATGCATGGGACTCCGCCTAGCCCTTCAGAGCTCACCCTTGCGGGACATGTCTCCCCGGCAGAGCTCAGTGGGGTGAGTCTGTGCAGGTGCCGGTCTCTTCCGTCACCTCAGGGGTTCTGTCAAACGCACTAATGATCCCACACACCAGCACACCTGGCCTAGGGCTCCTGCTGTGAAGTGGGTAACTGAGGACATGCCACCCACACAGAGGAAGCTGTTTATTAGGGCTTTGGGACCACTCGGGCCTCAATTTCCTCCTCTATATAAAATGTGTATAATAAGAACTTCCGCTGACTGGCAGCTCCCGGGCAACAGGCTGGGTAGAGATGCTTCGCCATAGAAAAGTCTCAGGAAGAGATCTTTTAAGCCAGACTGCTTTTTTTTTGCGGGGGGGAGGCCCATCCCCACCCCCAATGATAAATGATAATCACTTTATTTTTGGCCAGTCCCGGAGCTTGAATTCAGGGCCTGGGCGCAGTCCCTGAGCTATTTTTTGCTCAAGGCTAGTACTCTCCCAATTTGAGACACAGCACCACTTCCTATTAGAATTACACTTTTTTTTTGGGGGGGGTCCGGTCATGGGGCCTGAACTCTGAGCCTGGGCACCGTCCCTCAGCTCTTCAGCTCAAGGCTAGCACTCTACCACTTGAGCCACAGCGCCACTTCCGGCTTTTTTCTTTTTGTTTATCTGGTGCTGAGGAATCGAACCCAGGGCCTCTGGCATGCAAGGCAGGCGCTCTACCATTGAGCCACCTTCCCAGCCCCTAGAATTACTCTTATAAATATATGACTAAAACTAATCAGCCAACACTATCACTACCTCCCATCAGTTTTCACCACCTACCTCCTCATTTGTTCCCAATCTTCCATTTTTTCTCCCCTTTACTTTTACTTTTTTTAAGAGGTAGAAAGCAGGCCCACTGGGGCAGGGGTTAAAAAGATAACCAACTGTTGAGTCCATCTGCCCCCATTCAAATCTGGGCATTCCGTTCCTGACTGTGTCGAGTCTCTTAACCTCTCTGCACTCCAACGTGTTCATCCGTAAAGTGAGAATTTTAAGAATACAAGGTTTGGGGTTGGAGGTGTGGCTCAGATGGCAAAGCATCTTCAAATGGAAGTAAAGGGTCAGATACCGGAGTCCTCGTTCAGGTCTCAGACAAAAAGAGAAAAAAAAATACAGGGTTCAAGTCAGGTGCCAGTAGCTCACATCTCTTCAGGAGGTGGAGACCTGAGGATCATGGTTCGAAGCCAGCCGGGGTAGGAAAGGCCATGAGACTCTTATCTCCAATTAATCATCAAAAAGCTGAAGTGGAGCTGTAGATCAGGAGGTGGTAGAGCACTTGCCTTGAGCAAAAAAAAAAAAAAAGCTAAGCAACAGCGCATAGGCCTTGTGTTCAAGCCCTGGAACTGGTGCACAAACAGACAGAAAGACAGACAGACACACACACACACCAAGCAAGAATCGTCCAAGGATCTGACTTTTCTTGATGTGTGTGTGTGTGTGTGCACGTGCGTGCATGCGTGCGTGAGTGTGTGCGTGAGTGTGTGCGTGTGTGTGTTGATCTCGGGGTTTGAACTTGAGGCCTGGGCACTGTCCCTGAGCTTCAAGCCTCGCTCTCTCTCTACCTCTTGAGCCACAGCACCACTTCCAGCTTTTTTCTGCGGAGTTTACTGGAGATGAGAGTCTCACAGACTTTCCTGCCCGGGCTGGCTTCGGACCGTGATCCTCAGATCTCAGCCTCCTGAGTAGCTGGGATGACAGCTAGCTTTTTTTTTTTTGATAACAAAAGCTGCGCATCATTTTGGTGTCAAGTCGCTGGAGGATCCACAGGCCGCCTCGTGGCCCGCGAGCCCCCGTGTTTGCCCGCCCCCCGTGGCACTGTCAGCGCCCGCGGCCGCACGGGGACAGAGTTGTGCAAGTGCGGCGGGCATCGCGTGCCTCTCTCCCCGAAAATATTGACTCTCTGGCTCTTCCAGGAAAAAAAATAAAAGGAAAAGTTTGCTGACCCCGGGGTGGGTGGACACAAGCACTTTGCACTCACCCGGCACGAATGAATGTGCTGGTTCCCAGTGTGGCGCCTGCAAGAATCAGCCCTTGCTACTGTCCCCTGGACCAAACGTCCGTGGCACCCAGGTTGTGCCAGCCTACCCTACTTCCTTTCCCCGCCTGGAAACTTCCCGAACAATCCCCTCTCCCTGAGCACTTGTCTTTCCCCTCCTGTGATCCGCAGCGCTGTGTGGCCCCCACTGGGGAAGCGCCATGCCACGCCCTCCCTGACCACGCCCTCTTTCCGCAAAGGCCACACCTCCCTCCCAGGGCCACGCCCACTCAACCTTGCCAGGCCACATTCCTACTCTGACCACGCCCTCCCATCTTGCCACTCCCACGCCTAACGGACTCCTCTTTCAAAAGTCTGACCACGCCCTCTGTCGCCTAGCCACGCCCTCCTCTAGCAGGCCTCGCCTTCCCTGGCCTAGACACGCCTTCTTCAGAGGGCCACGCCCTCACACCTATTGGCTTGCTTTCTCCTGGCCACGCCCTTCCCCAGTGACCACGCCCCCCACCACTATGATCTGATTGGCCCTCGGCTTGCCATCCTCCCAGAGCTTGGCGCCATCTCCGCTTCCCCCACCCTCACCACTGGTGCTTGCTGGTGACCATGGCGATGGTCTGTCTAGCCACGTTGGAAAACAGTCTGGCTGTTTCTTGAAAAGTTAAACATCCACCTAACACTTCATGAGCCAGCATTTTACCCCCAGGTGTTTACCCAAGAGAAACACAAAGCATACAGCCAAAGACCTTCACATCCTTGCGCTTCCATTGAGAAACATCCCAGGGACAAGCGTGGGCCAACCCGTGTGCACACAAATCTGTCCCTCACCACTGACGACGACTTAGTTTGTGACAGCCAGGCCTGAGGATGGACAAATTTCAACACAGCCACGCAGGGAAATGCCATCATGGGGGACCCATTGGCCTGTGCAGAATAAATACACACAGAATTGGCACCAGTTCTGTCCACTCCTGACTCCTTTGCGGGCTGTTTGGTGCCGCAAATCCAGAGTAACTTCAGGCCTCAGTTTCCACACCTGCAAAACTGGGCTGAGCACACAGGAGGAGAAATTTGACTGTGTGGTCTAGGGCTGTGTGCCTTGGTTTTGCTTATTTTCTTCCTCCTCTTGCTCCTCCTTGGGGCTTGAACTCTGAGCCTGGGCGCTGTCCCTCAGCTCTTCAGCTCAAGGTTAGCGCTCTACCACTTGAGCCACGGCACCACTTCGGTTTTCTGGTGGTTCATTGGAGATAAGAGCCTCACAGACTTTCCTTGCTCAGGCTGGCTTTGAACCGCAATTCTCAGATCTCAGCCTCCTGAGTAGCTAGGATGACAGGCGTGAGCCACCAGCAAGCACCCAGATCTTCTTTTTTTAATGTCAGTTGTCAGGGCTTGAACTCAGGGTCTGGGCGTTGTTCTTGAGCTTTCTTGCTCAAGGATAGCAGTCTACCACTTGAGTCACAGCACCACTTCCGGTTTTCTGGTGGTTAATGGGCGATAAGAATTTCATGGACTTTCCTGCCCAAGCTGATATGGAACTGGGATCCTCAAATCTCAGCCTCCTAGGTAGTTAGGGTTATGTGTGCGAGCCACCAGTGCCCTGCTAGATTCTTGCTTTTCTGTCAGGTCAATGTTGGATTGGTCAATGCTTGTCTTTATCTTGAAGCAATTTGAATTTTCTTTATTTTTCACTTAATATCAAAGCAGTCAGTATGGCAGCTGTAGGGTGTGTTTGTGTATGCTTCTGTTGGGGTGGTGTGTGATTTAAATATATATTGAACATATTATACCCAGGTGCCATGGTTAGATGTGTAATCTTAGCTACTTAGGAGCAAAAAAGCCAAGAGAGAAAATAAGGCATTGAATTCAAGCCCAAGTACTGGCACACACACACACACCTACATTAGTATATTATTAAAAATATATATTATAATATCAACATGTAAAGTGAAACATATTTATAACATCACGTATGTAAAGGATTGCATCTTATATGATTATTACACTTGTAAATATGTAGTTAACCATGTGTAATATATAACATATTTATAAATATGTATTTCTTCATATAGCCATGATTCTCTTCTAAAATAAGCTTTTTGGGGTAAGGGGTGTGGTGGTTCTATGAAAAGCTTGTCTAGCACTTGCAGTACTACGGAAAGACAGAGACAGATAAAGAGAGAAATTTGCCAGGTGCTGGTGGCTTTGAGCACAAAAGCCCCTTGAAAGCATCCAAGCTCCAGTACAGGCAGAGAGAGACAGACAGAGACAGAGAGAGAGACAGAGACAGATTTTTCCAACACCTCCCCCTCCCCAAACACTGAATTGCGTCCCATGATTTATGCAGGAGGCATAATTTGGAAGCAATGAATTTGGGTATTTAGTGGCAGAGAGTCTTCGGCAAAGTGTTGGAAGTGCAGCCCGGTGCCTCGCTGCTTGGCATGAACTCATCTGACAGCAGGCCTGCTTTGTATTTTTGTTTGGTTTATCTGAACCTGGTTTTGAACTCAGGGCCTCCATCTTAATGACAGGCAAGCACTCTCAGCAGAGCCCCGCCCACCCACTCACACCACGCCCAGTCTCTAGCCACGCCCACCCGTAGCCACGCCCCCAGCCCAGCAGAACTGTTAAGCCAGGACTTGGCCTGGTGGGACACCCTAATCTCCCTCGGGAGGCCCTGAAGACGCTACAGTGTGGCCTTCCCGAGCGGCCATCCTCTCCTTGCCAACTGGGTGACCTTGGGCAGGTGTCTAGACTCCTCTGTGCCTGTTTCCTTGTGGGTCAAAAGAGCAGGCTGTGGTTAAGCTGTGCACCTCGGCTGGCCAGGCTCTGGTGTGTGTGGGGGGGGGACCCACCGCCCCCTGGGCTTTGGCAGCCTCTGCTTTCTCCCCCACTTTGCCCCCAACTCCATTTCTGCTCTCTGGGGCCTAATCCCTGCCTAATCCTCCTACCTAATAGCAGCGCTGCAGCTGGGACTAGGGGTTCGCCCTGGAGATTAGCAAGAGGGGATTACAGACAAGCAGACCCCAGAGATGGGGGGGTCTCACTCCGTGGAGGGGGGGTGCCCCCTTGCCTGGGCCTGCCCGCCAGCCACGCAACACCTGTTTCCTCGCCAAACATGTTGGGGGTCTTGCTGGTTGACCTCCGGGGAGGTGAATTTCCTTCTCTGAGCTTCATTTGCCCCTTTTTTTGAAAACGAGAGAAGGAATGGAGCAAGCGGACACGCTGGGCTGTGTCCGCTGTGGGGACACCCCACGCCCCGTGCGCCCCCATCCTAACCCCCCACACCCCCCTATGGACTCAGCCAGGGCCCAGCTCCTCTTCTGGGGTGCGCCTGCCGCCTCCCTCACCCTGGCCGCCTCTGGGGGGGAAGAGTCAGGGATCATTTCCCCCAAAGTGGGGGGTGGGGGTCCCCAGTAGGGAAGACAAACCCCGGAAAGATGACACAGGCCTAAGCCAAGCCCCCCCCCCATCCCCTGGCTGCGCCAGACGCAGAGCTGAGGGGAGGGGGCGGCGCCTGCTTTGCCGCGGCGGCCGGAGGGGGGGCTGCGGGAGAGAGGGGGGAGGGGGGGAGGGGG